ACTTGAAGTTACAACCAAATGTTTTAACAATATATCTCGCAAAAGACGCAAGAAGAACTTTTGTCGCTAGAATATTCTTATTCTTTGAGATGTGCTCTATATAACATGATAACCATCTTGCTTTAACTTGCTCCTTACCAAGATATTAAGATTTAGAAGACCGAAAATTTAGAGAAAGCCACACAAGGAAATGTAGTAGACTGGATACGAATGAAGATCTATTTAAAAGACTGCTACTCAGCTCAGATCCATTTATAAGTAATTTTCAACAGCACATTTCTAGAAAACATAAAAAGATGAGTATGGAGACTAAAAGATTACTTATAATAGACTATATAGCAGACCAGGAAGAAGAAAAAGATCGCGAAGAAGAAGATGAATATGACGAAGAACAAGAATCAGAACAAGAGCTATATGAGGCAGGATGCAACGAAGATGAAGATGACGAAGAATGGTCTGACACAGAACAAGAAAAAGCACACATTGTTAATAGATATATATAAGATACTCCGATACAACAAATGACAATCTATTTGACAGCATCTGAAGAATAATCGTACCAATTTAAACCTTTTTTGAATGAACACTGATAAAAACTGATGTAGTATTCTGATACTGTTAGATTCTAATGGAGGATATTAAACGTTCACATGTATGCTGATGACAATCATGATTATTCTAATAGAGTGTCATTACATTTAAATCGAACAAAATCAAAAATAGTATGTTTCGGTAATTTAAATCCAAGTGATATTCTAGTTTATGTTTCACAAATCAAGTTTAGTGCTTTCTAATTTTGCCCATGTCCGACGCAGTATGATATGAGCCGCATCAGTGCGTTCAAAATAGTTTTTTTGCGAATTATTTTTGGTATTCGTAAATTTTAACGAGTTTTTCACGCGCCCTCATCAAAGATAATTGGCTCAATACGAACAACAGGCTCAGATATTATTTTCCATGTTTAATTAATACAGTGATATTTCCGTCTTCTACGCCGTATCTATGTAGAAAATTTATATTTAAAACTGATGACATCATAACCATATCTACTCACAATATATCTTTTTATAAAAGATCCTCGGCTCCTCAGCCCAATCATCACCTCATTGATGTATTTATCTCAAAAAACCAAAAAGTTCGAACATTCAACTTTTAATTTTAACATATTTGTCAACTTTATAAAAAATCCTTTAAAATGACTCTAAACTCGACATATTTAACGTTGATATTATTGGAGATACAATCACTTCCGGTTTGAAACGTCAACGTCAATTTTGATATATTTGTCATCTTCATTAAAAAATCTTTAAAATGAGTCCAAACATGACGCACTTATCTCAAAAAACAAAAAAGTTAGAATAAAAAACATTAAACCCGAAGTTGGCAACAATGAAGATAGCAATTTAATTTTTAAATATTAATAACAACCTTAATTTTTGATCTTTTTTTATTATATTTTTATTTTTGTTACAAAAATTAAGACATTTTATAAAAATTAAGAATATGTCAAAATGACATTGACATTTCAAACCGGAAGTCGCTTATACCTCGAGTAATATTGGAATTAAACGTATCATGTTTGGGCTTATTTTAAAGGATTTTTGACGACGATTACAAATATGTCAAAATTGACGTTGACATTTTTAACCGGAAGTTGACCATAACTTCATTAATATTCAAGATAAATATGTCGTGTTTATACTCATTTTAAAGGATTTTTAATGAAGATTACAAATATGTTAAAATTGAGGTTGATATCTTAAACCTGAAGTTAGTTATCATATAAAAGAAGTTTTATAACTGAAGTTAATCTGGTATTAATCACTTTTCCGTACTTTCTTTTTATTATTATATTCGTAATTTTCATAAAATAACCTTTAAAATGAGTCCAAACTTGACGTATTTATCTGAAAAAACCAAAAAGTTTGAACTTTCAACTTTAATTTTGACATATTTGTCAACTTCATAAAAAATCCTTTAAAATGAGCCCAAACTCGACATATTTAACTTTAATATTAATGGAAATACAATCACTTCCGGTTTGAAACGTCAACGTCAATTTTGACATATTTGTCATCTTCATTAAAAAACCTTTAAAATGAGTCCAAAGATGACGCACTTATCTCAAAAAACAAAAAAGTTAGAATAAAAAACATTAAACCCGAAGTTAGCAACAATGAAGATAGCAATTTAATTTTTAAATATTAATACCAACCTTAATTTTTTATTTTTTTTTATTATATTTTTGTTTTTGTGACAAATATTAAGACATTTTATAAAAATTAAGAATATGTCAAAATGACATTGACATTTCAAACCGGAAGTTGCTTATATCTCGAGTAATATTGGGATTAAACGTATCATGTTTGGACTCATTTTAAAGGATTTTTCACGTCGATTACAAATATGTCAAAATTGACGTTGACATTCTTAACCGGAAGTTGACCATAACTTCATTAATATTGATGATAAATATGTCGTGTTTGTACTTATTTTAAAGGATTTTTAATGAAGATTACAAATATGTCAAAATTGAGGTTGACATTCTAAACCTGAAGTTAATTATCATGTAATAGAAGTTTTATAACTGAAGTTAATCTAGTGTTAATCACTTTTCCGCACTTTCTTTTTATTATTATATTCGTAATCTTCATAAAATAATCTTTAAAATGAGTCCAAACTTGACGTATTTATGTCAAAAAACCAAAAAGTTTGAACTTTCAACTTTAATTTTGACATATTTATCAACTGCATAAAAAATTCTTTAAAATGAGCCCAAACTCGACATATTTAACTTTAATATTAATGGAGATACAATCACTTCCGGTTTGAAACGTCAACGTCAATTTTGACATATTTGTCATCTTCATTAAAAAACCTTTAAAATGAGTCCAAAGATGACGCACTTATCTCAAAAAACAAAAAAGTTAGAATTAAAAAACATCAAACCTGACGTTGGCAACTAATTTAATTTTTAAATATCAATACCAACCTTAATTTTTGTTTTTTTTTAATTATATTTTTGTTTTCGTGACAAATTTTAACACATTTTGTAAAAATTAAAAATATGTCAAAATGACATTGACATTTCAAACCGGAAGTTGCTCATATCTCGAGTAATATTGGAATTAAACGTTTCATGTTTGGAGTCATTTTGAAGGATTTTTCACGATGATTACAAATGTGTCAAAACTGACGTTGACATTTCTAACCAGAAGTTAGTTATATAATAGACAAATTAATAACTTCATAAAAAACCTTTATCAAAAAACCTTTAAAATGAGTCCAAATAGAATAAAAAACATTAACCTTGAATGATTCTAGTTCTAGGTCTTGAGTTAGTCCTAGTAATTAGTGTAAAACTAGAACTAACACTAGACCTAGAAAGTATCTGGTTTAGCCGTGCATCTGAAGACTGAAAATTAATACATTCGGAATTTAATGTGTAAAGTGTCATATTTTTGACAGTTAATGTCATATTTTGACGTTTGACAGCTTTGTTGATTATTAACATAACAAATTTTCGTTTCTAACCTATTGCATCGTAAAGGAAATTTAAAATCCTTTAAAATGAGTCCAAACTCGACCTATTTACGATAATATAAAAATTACGTTAAAATAAAACAAAATGGCGGATTTTTTATTGATTCC